TATGAAAAACCAAAAAAAAAAAAAAAAAAAAATTAGCCTCATAGGATATGTAGTTTTCGAGATATTGACTCCTCAAAAATATGGAGGCGTGGTTCTTCAAGATGTGCAAACGCAATTTACTTAACTTTGGAAGCTTATAACAGGAGATTGGTAATAGCTATCAGGGCCAAACTTGGTATTCCAATATATTTTTGCCATATTTCACATATATGGCATTAGATTAACAGTTATCCCTTACCTTTTGAAGTTATCTGCACTCAAAGTAGCCGCTTTGTTTAACAATGCAAATTTTTTGTGATTTTCAAGGTCACCTTGCTTCCTACTCGCTCTTTCCCATTTATACAGTTAATTTCAAAAATGTTCATGAACATACTTGACAGAGGATTAAAAAAGGTTCTGTAGTTGTGCAGGACAAGGCCTTGGCAAAAAGAATTAATTTTGAGGGGATCAGTGATATTTACAAGAGCAAGGATTTTTGGATGAAATGTTGGATGAAATGATTTTAATCGACAGTGGCATCCAATTTTGTTGGGTTTCAATTATTTTTTTTTTTGTGAGACCAATATTAAATATTTTACTTTTTTTTTTACTATTTTACTTGGGACAAAATTAAGCTAAATTATGCTAATTTTGCCAAACATTATGCCAGCATAATATGCTAGGTGCTAAACGGGACTAAATTATGCCAAAAAGCATAATTATGCTAGACGCAGGGCAGGGGTGACGCCAGGATTTGCCTGACGGGGGTGGGGCCGATCGTCCCCGACCGGGGGAGGGGCGACGTCCCCGACGAGGGGAAATATTTCCCCGACGAGAGCAAAGTAGGCGTGGTCGAGCGGCGCTTAAAATGTTTCGAAAGTGGTCCAGGGGCGAAGCCCCCGAAAATTTTGATAATTTAGGGGTTTCCAATCGATTTTAGAGTCTACTAATATGTGCAAAATTACATATAATTTTTTTTTTCTCCCCGACGAATTGTGGTTTTTCTCCCCGACCTGTCTCTTATACACATCTAGATGTGTATAAGAGACAGATTATTTACTTACCTCAGCCCCAACCATGGTGGAGATGAAGTGGGCAGTGTGTGACCAGCGACCAACGGCGGCGGAAGCGGAGCCATTGGCCCACCTAACACTCACGATAAAGTAAGCATGCATACGTCATAAGATTACGTCACTTTTCCTGACAAGGCAAAGACTATAATTATACTCTTTCCCGGAGTGCTTTTTTCATGGATAATAATAATAATAATAATATTTATTTGAAACTTCACTTTTAAAACAGTGGCGCACGATGCGTTCATAAGAGTATAACATACAGTATATAATCAAAAATAAAATAACAAACGTTAAATAAATTCAGATGCAGTACAGAATTAAAACACAGCGAGTAAAACGACAAACAATAACTCTAAAATTTAGATCATATTAAAATAGAAGAGGCAGAAATAGATTAAAAAGGTACTTAATAAAGCAAATCCCAGCGATATAAAACGACTTGTTTAAAATTTATAAAGAGTTAAAATTAATCAGTTGACAAATTAAAAACGTTAAAAATTTCAGTCCAACAATGTTTAAAATTTGTTTTGTATCCTACTACTTAACACAGAGGTAAAAAAAAAAATCAGTTGCTTAATTATTCCTGGTTCATAATTCTACTTCTAGTTTGCCAGGCTCTTTTCAAATAAGACTTACACATTTTATCAAATATAGTACCTATTTCCTTATTATTTCTGTAATATTTATACATTTCATTGTTGCCAAGCATGAGACAGGTTTTTGTATGGAAATCCCCAGCTAGATAAACCAATTCCAAACAAACTGGATAAACGCTACTGCTTTGCACACGGATGCCTTGTCTAGCAAGGGCTACAAGAGCCGTATTGTTAGCATTGTATAATACTTAAACAAGGCACCTTGAGTACCGCGGCGTAGCATTTGCATCCCCTCTTGGAAAGAGAGAACTTCGAAATAATTGTCTCTAATCACCGTAGTTTAGCTTACACTTATGCTTGGAGGGAGCACTTAAAGTGTACAATAATTATTTCACTACCCGACAAACCTCAAACTTTATTTATGCATTACATAAATAGTTTCATCTTCTTGCTGTACTCCAACATCACTGGCGCCTGTAACAACCAACTGACTGCAGACCATTTTCGGTCACACATTACTCTCCATAACGCAGCAGTCACCTCTGGGTATGGTCACTATGGAAATTGGTGTGGATAGACATAAACATAGACATCACTTATTCATCCAATGATTTTGGAAATTACAGAATCCTCATTGAGGAACCTGGACTCTTCGGGCAATCTATAGCGCCACCATCGGAAACACCCTCTCTCAGAAGAAGTTTGTCCTGACCAATAATAGGCGAGCCTCTAAAACCCTTTCAAATCCCATAATTGTCGGGCTTCCTAGATTCACCCTAGACTCCCTCTGACGGGTTTTGGACTGCCCCTAGGCCTGCTAACTATGCCCCATCGGAAAAAATCGGTCTTCGTGTCGGAGACATCGCCCCTCCCCTTGTCAGTTAATTCGAATCCTCATCGCCTATCCCGTCGGCGACAAAGGACCTACATTGGCAATTCATGGCGCCACAAATGTCATTAACATCATTATTATTCATTTAAAAAACAACATTGTCTTCATCAATGTAGTAAGTGGTGTAAATATGGTGCTCTCTCTCTATCACTGTAAATATATGCAGCATACATACCTGTCTCT